ATGTTAAGAAAAGATACCCCCAAGAGCCAATCCAGGAGCAAGCATAGCTGTAGAAATGAGCTGCTTCGGTGCCTTCTGATTTCCCTCAGACCATTGAACGTCGTCGTCGAGAATCACCATTACTCATTCTTTCTCTTAAGAAGTAGAACCCATGAAGCGAGAGAGACCTCTTCGTTGTTGCACACATCTCCCTATGTTCCCGCCAGTTACATCAGAAGAGATATCGGCAACACTCAGGATAGGTTTCCTCTTCGCAAGGGCACATTGGACACCAGAGATGATCCCCTCCTTACTGTCCTCAACCATCTCGGAAAAGGAAGGAGCGAATGCTTTCGGTGGAAATAAAGATGAGATGAGATGAACCATCGCATGAGAACCAGCACCAGAGGTGGCAGAATCATCCGAAAGTATGTTCGGCTACTCAGCCAGACGATCAACCCTGCACGACAGAGGGTGAGTTTCGTGAAGATCAATCTCACTATACTCCAACTTCCCTTTAAACTTATTACGGGGAACGAAGTCAAACAAAAGCGGGGATTCAACACCTACAAGAACACAACGATCAAGAAAAAACAAGGGGGGAGGAAGAGGAACAAGAAGCTAGAAATAATAGTCATACTGTCAATAACGGTATAGAAGATCGACATTTTTCCCTTCGCCCGCCAGCTTAAAGAATATGTTCGAGGTATTCGTCCAAAGAAACCTGAATACCCTTAAATAGATCAACAATCACCTGTTTATGGGGAAACAGCTTAGGAGTAACATCCGAAAACCCCCGGAATGGAGTCTTGTCGTCAGGAACAAGAACATGACCCACAACCCCCTGGTTATGGGCCAGAATCAATGTTGACCCACAACCACCAGTCCTAATAGTTCTTCGGATTCTTGTCAAGAACATGATGAACTTGTATCAGGTAGCACTAAACCAAAAGAAGAACTTGAAGGCAAAGAAGTTCGAGAGAACGCCGTTGGCATGAAAAATCATGTCGAATGCCACCATGTTTATGAAGAAGCTCGTCCTGAAAACCAGTAAGAAGAAGTCGAAGTCCAACATTAAAAGTCTTCAGAAATACGCCGAATTTCCTCAGAGGAGTAGATAAGATCAAGGAATCAGGAGCAAAGAACTCGACGCCATCATCCAAAGAGAAACCATAATCCCGATGGAGGTTATCGAATTTGAGCGGCGGAAGGAACGATTCCAGGACGGTTAGCCATGAGAGAAGAAAGAAGAAGAAACGGTGAAGGAAAAAAGAAAGGACTGAAACGCGTAGAGAATTAAATGGAAAATAAGGAATGTTATATCAACACATATGCGGGAGCTTCAAAATCTCTACCATCATGACGTAACTGAAAGCACGACAAATGGTCATGTCGCCGAAGAAATCGAAGCGCCCAACACACCCTGAGCCGACACATGTAGAGGCAGTTAGTCCAGATCATCATAGCTAGTCTGCCACAAATGCTACGACTACTGGACCAGGGGACTTGATAAGATATCCCTTGGCGCGGGCCAAGGATCACGTCCCAGCTATGCCAAGAGTCTTGCCCAGCCACCAACATGACTGGGGACTCCCAACAACAGCCATGATGGCGAGTCCCGCGCCCGCGAGCATCTGCCGAACAGAAGAAGATCGTGCGAGCCAGGACTCCATAATGGATATGTTCGCCTCATGACAAAACCCACGGCTCTAAGAGACAAAGATTAAGCCTAATCAGCGCGCCCGATCCTGTCGGGTCTGACGCTCTTGTCTATCGTATGGATTGGCAGGGGGGATCTCAGTATAAAAGATCTCTTTTGGTCCATCGAAAAAGGGAGTACTCTTCATCCTCACCTTAATACTCTCAATACACTCGATACCTCAAATCATTGACTTTACCGTCGGAGCACTCTCCTTGTATCGCCTCCCGGAGAACGGTTGACGTATATCTCTCTGTTGTGATCTTTCCATGTCTTTGTTACAACAATCATCTCAAGAAGCCGGAGTTGGGGAAATCAGTCACATCAACAGGATTCAAAGCTAAAGAGTGAAAGTTGAAAAATCGATGCAGTGGGGAAACCTAGAAATGTAAGACAACATAGTGTTTTTTAGACATAAAAGACAAGGCGCATCTTGTGTTTTTTTTTTACTTTATGCCACTAAAACATGACATACTTTGTTTTATGTTGTAAATGTATCAAAATATGACATAACTTTATGGAACACATATTTGTGTGTCATTAAGCCTTTAGTTTTCATAAAAGATGATATTTGTTTTACGGCTCACATTTTTGTCTGTCATAAAACCAGTGTATAACGTAATTGATATATGATTGAAGACTTATTTTCTAGTGATGTTTGCAATGATTTTGATGTTTTTTTATAAAAAAAATTATGTGTAGTTATTTGCAATATTTTTTTCCCAAAAAAGATGCTCTAAAAGGTTGTGAGATGTTTATGATGAAAAGGGGTTCTTTTCTAATATACATTTATGTACATATATCTATATTCTTTTTGAGACATCTAACACATGTGTGACTCACTAGCTTCTCAAGCATAAGATATTATTTTGACATATGGTTGGGTTAGGGCATGACTGGTAGTGCGGATTTGAAAAAAGTGAAGTAGTCGCATGAACATTTAAGAAGGCTTGTTATTTTTGAAATAGTTTGTTATTGTTGCTTAGTCTCTCTTTATCGGTTGTAATTTCCCCGTACACTTTAAAGGTCTTCTATTTAAAAAGTTTGATGGTTTGGGGGGACTTGTGCAATGTTAAAAATGGTTTCAAAACCTTTAAATGATCTTTTGAGATACTAATTCGAACAAGAACATATGATAGGGTGTTTCACTTGTATATTGTGTGGATGAGACAGTCATGCTCATGTTATAGTTATCTTGTATGTATGTAAAAAAAATGGTGATACTATTGTATATCCCCATGATTTTATCGTACTTGGTAATCATGAAAAATACTTTTTGAAAGATATATTTTTGGATGTACTCTTTTTTGAAATTACAATGTTACAAATTGATGATTCTTTTTGTGAAAGGTTAATGTCGCAAAATGGCAAACCAATTGTCACTGTTAGACTCATTTGGTCCCTAGTTTTTTTGTGCATTGCAGATCACATAGAGATGTTAAATGAGTAATATTTTTTCGCTGGTTTCCATGCAAACAAAAGTTGAGTTGGATTGGCAAAGTCATACGTGGCTTCATTATGGCCACTCATTCTCCACCGTGGGTTTTTGGCTGAAAACAAAATTCTTTTATAAATGAACACATAGACTCGTCTTCTTCAAATACCTAGAACACCAAGAATTGATCTCAATTCAAAGAGATAGAATATCAACTTGTAAAATACAAAGATACGATGGAAATGGAACTTTTGGTAGTGAAAGGGGAGGTGAAAATAATGAAAACAAAGTTGGTTCTTCAAAATGTTTAGTGATTATGATGTTTGTTTCCTTGATATAGAATATTATGTTTTCTGGGAAATAGTAGATGTGGTTGTTTTATATGAAATGAAAGGGTAGAATCATTTTTGGTTAGTGATATTGATAGATGTGGTTTTTGGGGTTTGGATTTTGTATAGTTTTGGGAGGTATGTAATAAGCATGTAATTAATTTGAATGTATATTCTTTTTGGGACATCTTTTAGAATTATCCAAAAAATATACACTACATTTTGTTCTATGTAATGGAAATCTTTATAATTTGTATCATCCACATTGTTTTGTCCCATGTTTGTTTATCGATAATAGTCATATCTTGTGTGGACCACGAATCTGGTAATTGACAACCTTGCATAAGGCAAACAAAACATGAGCCCATGGACCACAAACTGCTAAAAAAAACTTACAAAATGCTAAATTGTGGATGTCTTATTCATTGATTCATAAATTTCATACATTGAGTTAGTTCATGCTTTCCAAACCCATATATACAAAATATGTTTCCAAAAGCACATGCATCTTAAATATGTGCTACAAAAATCATGTTCAATAAAGCTTTTTGAACACATATACAACCTATTATAAGATTTCAAAAGATATTCCCATAAATAAATTCTAACTATTTCTTCAAGAACCACTTCCATTTTTTTGTTTTCAACACATACCATTACCCATCGGAGACAATGTTAAATTCATTCCTACCCACAACATATATAAATTCCCTCCTACAAATACATTATAGAGTAAATTACACGAATGGTCCTTATGATTTGGGATAATTTGTGCGTTTGGTTCCTAACTTATTTTTTTAACTCGAAAGGTTCTTTTAACTCGGAAGGTTCCTACTATTTGTTTTTGTTACGTGTTTGGTCCCTACTGTTTGTTGTTGTTACACGCTTGATCCCTGTCTTACCTAAAAAGATTATTATTTAAATAGGAAAAAATGATGGGGTAGATAAAGTAAGATGAGAGGGGTGGGGTTGAGGTGTGTTTATTTAAATAAATTTAAAAAAATCAATGGCAAAATAGCCTTTTTAGGTAAGAGTGGAACCAAGCGCGTAACAAAAACAAACAGTAGGGACCTTCCGAGTTAGAAAAATAAGTTAGAGATCAAACACGCAAATTACCCTAAACCATAGGAACCATTCGTGTAATTTACTCTACATTATAGAAGTACCCTTCTATCCAACTATTTTATCATATTACATTTTTAAGACATTCATCTTAATCATAGAGCTTGTGTTTGTTCTTCTAATATCCTTAACATATTCCATTGTTCTTCCCTAGTTAGGGAAGTTCCCTTTCCAAAAAAAAAACATATGACCAAAATATGGCATATTCTTTAACTAGGGTATGATCAATGAGACAAAATGCAAGTTTTGACACTTTTTTTAAACATTTAACGATCTAAAAAACGATTATGGACCAAATAACTCCAAGAGCAACAACTGGTTTGACATGCATATCAAAGAGCACTTTTGAACATAACAACAAAAACAAAACAAAACAAGCACAAAGGACACATTCATAAGGTAGGTAACATTAACATATGATTGTATTAAAGTTGAAAGAAACACCAAATTCATCCTCATCTTCTCATCTCTCTTCCTAAAGACCCCAACTAAACATCATAATTAGCAATAGAGCCCAAAACAAACCTAATCAATACTACCACTACTCATATAAAAAACTGTACATGATCCCACCCATTTGCTCCTTTCACTTTTGCTGTGTAGAAAACAATCATGGCCAGGGAAATAAGCATAACTACTTACCATTAAACCTCTAGCTCATGTCCTCTTTATATTAATCAAACCTTAATATCTTCTTTCAAGCTGTTGATGTCACACCTAACCTATAACACACACACACACACACACACAAAAAAAAAACAAATATAATTTTGGGTTGTTGTCATAAATGCGTAACAAACTATTTAATTTGGTATTTTACAAAAATACTCTTTGTGCACTTTCTGATAATAATAACATCTGGTGTTTTTCAACACCTCGAATAGTTCGTTATCTATTTACAACATTAACCCTATATTTTTCAATCCAAAAAAATAAATAAATAAATAAATAACTTGCCTTATAACTGTTCCCTGTTCCAACTCAACAACCGGTCGCGAACTCACCACCAACTCAAGTCCCTTTGGCTTCAAAACACAAAAACAACTTTAAACATCTCCTAAATAATAATAATAACAACTCCTCAAACCCACAACTTTCACAAATTAAAAAATAAATAAATTATCACAGACCAAAACCTGAACTTCAAACACCTTCCCTTTACCCTCTTCAGCACACGAATGATTAACAATGACTGGGGAAACGGAATCGGAATCGCGATTCCGGGGACTCACGGATTGTCTTTTCAGTAAACCATTTTGTTTGATTCCATTTCCAATTCCTTCATATTTTCTCTTTCTAGAAGCTTCTTCTTCACTTGATGGATTGATGATGTTTGACCTAGGTATTCTACAAGGTTTATAACCTTCCGGAAACACATACAAAGGAATCTGCTTCCTTCTAACATGGGAAACATAGATTTCCATTCCGGGTCTCCAAAACACATACATGTTGACCGAATGTCTAAACTCATCAACTGTTCCTCTGATGTCAAACTGTTGACCTTCTAGAACAACTTCCCCTTGTTTCCTCTGTAACCCCATAAAGAAAGCACTGTGTGAACATTGCTTTGAAGGGTCTGAGTATTCATGTGGGTATGGATGACACTGCAGCTTCCCCATCGTATCCCTCTCAATCTTTTAAAAAAAATAACAATTTTTAAAATTTAAACCAAAAATGTTGATTTACCAAAATACCCTTTTGACTAAAAAAAAACATTTTACCATTAAAGTCAACTGCCTCAAACGCGATTCAACCCAACCTTTCCATGCACGAAGATCATCACAATCTCCAGCAACTATATCCACCTGTAAATAATTTCTGTAGCTTTCGAAGAACATATATGGTTCAAACAATGCATGCCACTGGGCTTTGTTAAGCTCTATTTCCTGTTTGTTTATTTTAAAAAAAAAAAAGCCAACAGTCAAAAGTCAACGGTCAAAGTCGACTAAAATAGAAATTTTTAAAATTTAAACCAAAATGTAGTTTTACCAAAATATCCAATTGACTAAAAAACATTTTCCTGTTTATTTTAAAAAGTCAACGGTCAAAGTCAAAGTCAAAGGTCAAAGTTTACCTCGCATATTGTATTGCCGAAGAGGAACTGTTCAGTCATGACACGGAGTGTGCTAGTGGAGACATTGTAGCTGGAGTTCATGCAAGGGTATGCAGGGGTAATTATGGGCATATGGTGAGTTCTGTCTTTAGGGTTTTTGCGTGGGTCCCACACAGCGAATCCGAGCTCTTGTTGTTGGATTGAACAGAGCATGACTGGATTTGGCCATCGCCACTGTGTGTAGACCCTGAAGAACCTTGAAACCAGCATACTTGGAATGGCATTTGGGTAAAACTGACAAACTCGTGCAACAAGAAGAGCCCAATTCACACCACCTAGAAATCCAGTCACCTGATTAAAAAAAAAAGATGGTGGAAATTGAATCATGGGATTGTGGAAAAAGTCAACATGAAAGTCAAACATCCTTACATTTGAATAAACTCCACGCTTTTTAGCCCAAAACTTCAAGCAACGAAGTGTTGTACGAAAATGCTGAAAACAATCGGAAAAGTCAAAAGATCAAGAAAAGTCAAAATTAGATCAATGTAAGATTAAGGGGTTGTTTCTTTTTTTGCCCCGTTAAATCCTATAAGAGTAAAGTGGCTAAATGACCATTTTACCCTCATATTCCATAAGCTCTGTTTCTTTTCTAGACTAGGTAAACCATCTGACCGAGACTAAATGACCATTTTACCCTCATATTCCATAAGCCCTGTTTCTTTTCTAGACTAGTTAAACCATCTAAATGAGACCATTTTACACTTGAATTCTGTTTCTTGTCTAGACTAGGTACACCAACTTACTGAGACTAAATGACCATTTTACCCTCATATTCCAAAAAACACTATCCATATTCCATAATATTAACCAATTTCAAAGATAGAGAGTTAGAGTAGTTGAGGGGGAAAAAAAGAGCAAATAGGTAAATATTTGGTGTCTTAATTACATAAATCCAGGTTTTTTGGCTTAACCCATTAAGTCATTATGTCCAAATTAAGTAAAAACAAATTAAGTGCTTAACTCATTAAGCCCATTAAGTAAAAAAGAAACAGCCCTAATAACAATCACCTCAACATTTGGAACATGTTTAAGAATCTGATCAGCAACCCTGCAACCATTAAGACTCCTCACAGTAGGCTCATCAACATCATACAAGACAGAATCATCAGATATGTCTAAATCCTGTTGAAAAAAAAAACAATAAAAACCACAATAGGAAAGAGTTTAACTTTAAGGGGATTTTACAAAAACAAAAACTTACATCTGGAACAACTAAAAGAGAAATGCTGGCATAAAGAAGATCAATACATATTCCATCAAATTTAAATTTCATGACTGGAACATGAGCATCAGGAACTGGTTGAAGTTCTGTAACTTCCTCCATTCCTGACAACATATCATGCAATACAAAAAAGAAGTCCTGAAAAATTAAAAAAAGAAAAGAAAAAGAGTATAATGATTAATGAGCTCTTATAGCCTGTTAATAATAATATCTTGATGAAAATTGAAATAACTTACATCTCGATTCACATAAGAAGGTCCTACACATAAAGTGTCAATGTCTGCTCCAGGACCATGAACCTATCATTAAATTTTGATGGAATAAAAATAGTTATTTATTATAAATAAGCATTTAATGCAATAATGTGTTATACTTTTATCTAGTTATTAAAAATTCACTTACTCCAAGTCGATATGAACCAAAAGTAAAGATGACAGCATTTGCATCTTCAACCATTTGGTCTGTGTAGCCACGTAGGCGAGTAAGTTGCTTCACCCAATCAACTACAATCTGTAAAAGGAATCATTAAAAAGATTTATATTAGACTATAGAAAGAATATCCTAGGTATATTCCTTTTTTCTAACTTCTATATAGTTTAAAAAACTACACGTATACATATTTGGTGTAATAAAGGGTGTTGGGTTGAAGCAACTTTGATCAAAATTGGTGCAAAATTGGGATTTGGTGTTGGGTTGGAGATGCATTAATGACTATGAAGATTACCCTTTAGATGTTTAATTAAGATTGTAACCGATTCTTCAACTATCATGACTTGTTTAGTTATATATTGAGGATATATTAACCTATTAAGTCAAGTTTTATCTATAGAAGCATGATACATACAATACATAGGGTCTGATAGTGCAAGAGTTTTTTTTTTTTTTTCTATATAAGGTCTTTCCACTTTCATGTAGGCAACTAGTGAGATAATAGCTAACTAAACAAAATAATTATTTGAACAAAGATATTCCATATCTCCTCATGATCTTGCACTCTTGTCAAATAAACTCCCAGTGGGCCTCTCTCAAAAGGAATGATTACATATAATTGGTATGATAAGGGATAAACGTGAATATATGTCAAAGATTATAGAAGTTCAATAATTGATACTAAACGCACCTGCTTAATTCGACCAAGAACTTCCACCCTCTTAGCGGCTTCTTCTTTGATTTCGTATAGTCCAGCATCTACCAAGAACTACAAGAACGAAACGACAGTTAAAACGGTTAAAGAAGATGAGCATAGAGATATTCAAATTGGTTAACATAGCCGACCTTGTTCAATTTCTTGGTTCTTAGTAAATCAGCGTCAGATGGTCCCGCTAGAGACAAGGGTTTCGTAACCCCGTGCTGCCTTGGTGAAGGTAAAGCCTCCGAACCCACCATTATCCCGCTGAATTATGACAAGAATAAGTTGCAATCGAATGAACGAAAACAGAAAATTCGACCAAATCCCTAAAGAGACACACCAAATCGAAAAGAGTAATTTGGTTTCTCGACCCAAACCCTGAAACCCACATACAAAATCGGAAACTTAATCTGTTAGATTCGAAAATTGAGATAAGTAGGAAGGCAGAGCAAGCAAGATTGAAATTAGTGTAGAGGAATCTGTTGAAACCCTAGAATATTAGGGTTAATGGTATAGAAGGAAGGTGGATCTGAAGAAAACACTTAGCAAAGAAGAATCAAAACCTATGATTGATTTATACGCGTATATTGATTTGGAAATTTGAGGGGAGGCGCGGGATGTGATCGTGTCAGTTTCGGTTTGGGACTCTTGAAGAAGTGGGAAACTATTATTGATTCTTCTTTTCCACGTTTGGAAACAAAATCGAGATATTTCTTCCCACGGTTTCACATTGTGTAATTTGTTAAAATAGTCCTTCAACTACTCTCTAGTTTGCACTTTTTTCTTTTCTTAAAAAAATCTTCTACCTATTCTTCAAGATAATCAAGAATAGTTCTCCATCGATGACATTGATGTCAAAATTTGAACAAATAGTTACATTAAGAGACTCTATTACGATATCTAAATTTTTAAGATTTGAACTTTTAATAGGTTTAAATTTATAAAAGAGTCTGAACTTTTAAGATCTGAATTTTTTATTTGCTGCTTGATTGGAACCTTTTAATTGATATGTTGAAGGGAAAATGTCACTGTAGCACATTAAAGTTATGACAATTGTCCAATTTGGTCATTAAAGTTTTTTTTTTTGCACATTAGACCCCCCCCCCCGGGAGACGGTTCTCAGTTCTAGGATTTGATCAAAACCGATTCGGTCCGGCCGGTTCCGAGTAAAAACTGGTTTTGGACTTGATTTAAATTTTTTTTTTAAATTAAATATATTTTCTATGAAATTCTTTGAACAAACATATCTCATTTGTTTTAAGTCGGATTGACATACGGTTTTTTCCAACATGTAATTTAGAGTTTGTAAATGATTTTAGACTATAATCTTGTTGTTTTTTGTATTATATTCAATGAATTACAATCCTTCAAAGTTGAGATATTAAAGCTGAAATATTTCAGCTTTTCAACAAGAAATTTAAACTTTTATATTTTGTGAAATTCTTTAAACAAACATATCTTATTCGTTTTAAGTCGGATTGGCATGCGGTTTTTTCCAATGTGTAATTTAGAGTTTTTAGATGATTTTATATTATAATTTTGTTGTTTTTGGTGTTATATTCAATGAATTATAATCCTTCAAAGTTGGGGTATCAAAGTTAAAATATTTCAGCTTTTCAGCAAAAATTTAAACTTTTGTATTATGTGAAACTCTTTAAACATGCATATCTCATTCGTTTTAAGTCGGATTGACATGTAATTTTTTCCAACATGTAATTTAGAGTTTGTAGATGATTTTATACTAAAATTTTGTGGTTTTTGGTGTTATATTCAATAAATTGCAATCTTTCAAAGTTGGGATATCAAAGATAAAATATTTCAGCTTTTCATCAAGAAATTTATACTTTTGTATTCTATGAAACTCTTTAAACAAGCATATCTCATTCATTTTAAATCGGATAGACGGTTTTTTCAAACGTGTAAGTTAGAGTTTTTTTTTTCAAACGGTTGTTTTTTGTGTTATATTCAATGAAATTCTTTGTGAAGGTGTGTTGCACCAGATCCCACATCGGCTTGGAAGGAGAACGAAACATTTCCTTATAAAGGGGTGTGGATATGTGTCAAAGGTGAGAATAATCTAGGGATGGGTGACATCTAGGAAGTTTTCGTGTCGGGAGCCCAAAGCGGACAATATTGTGATACGTGCCAAAGGGGGATGTTACAAATGGTATGAGAGTTGGGGCACGAGTCGATGTGTTCGACGGGGACATCGAACCCTATAATGGGGGGTGAAGGTGGGTTGCACCTGATCCTACATCTGCTTTGAAGGAGAACGAAACATTTCCTTATATGGGGTGTGGATACCTTCCCTATCACAATGCGTTTTAAAGTCGTGAGGGCAGCAGATCCCATAAGAACTCTGCAGTTAAGCGTGCCCGGGCGAGAGCAATCCAGGGATGGGTGACCCTCTGGGAAGTTTTCGTGTAGGGAGCCCAAAGCAGACAATATTGTGATACATGCTAGAGGGGGATGTTACACAGATGATAGGAAGATCGTGTCACTGGTGCTGCACCCATGATTAGGCCAATTCGGAATTCGACCTGTCTGACTGAAGGTAGTCCAGATGGATCCTCTGAAGATACGTCCGGGTAGTCGCACACTTGCGTTATGTCTTTGATTTCCTTATCCTTGTCTTGCATATCCACCACGTGGGCCAAGAAAGCTAAGCAACTCTTCTACAAATACTTTCTTGCCTTCATGCAAGTGATGACTCTTAGGTTCTTCCCTGATTTATCTCCGCCAATGATGAGAGCCCCATTGTTGGGTAAAGGTAGTCGAACAACTTTTTTGTATCATTGAACCTCTATTCGATGAGGCGATGACCAATTTATTTTGATGATCACATCGATCTTCCAATGGTCATAGGCATTAGGTCGACGTGAAAGATGTGGTTATTTAGGGTGAGAAGGAAATTGGTGAGTATTTCTAAAGTGTTTTCTATTTGGTTGATTGCCATTTCCATTATGTAAGCTTTATTAAGTTTGCAGAATTTATGTTTTATCGCGTTTCTAAAACTTGGTCAATAAAGCTTATATCGGTATCAGTATTAAATCATACGAAAGCATAAATATTGTTGATATGAAACGTACCAGTAACCACAGCTGGGTCATGGAGAGCATCTCTTACATCAATCACTATGTTCTTCCTTTGTCACCCTGATTCTTCATCTTAGGGCAATTCTTCTTTAAGTGTCCCAGTTGGTTGCATTTGAAGCAGTTACGCATTTTTCCTGCAGTAGTGGTTGAGGTTATAGTGGTTGGGGTCTTTCTGCAGAACTTAGAGGTGTGACCTCTTAAGTTACAGTTGTTGCGGACCATGAAATTTCCGACATGGTGGAAATTGCACTTGGTACAATGGGGTAAAGTCCCACGACTTGGACAGAGTGAGAGTGTTTGTGTTTGCGTCGTAGACATTCATAGGTTCTTATTTGGACTTGAGGAGTTTGAAGTTCCCTTTGGACTCCTCATGGTACTTTTGTTTCGTACCCTCCGTATAGTTCTGCTCTGTCTTTTGGGTTGTGGTACTCAGACGAAGATATTGTTCAGTCAAATGATAGGCCAATTGTTTAGCAGTATCAAAGGTAGTGGGTCTGAATGCAACAACCAGACCTTGAACTGGGGGAGTTAGCCCTTAAATGTACCTTTCAATCTTTTTGTATTCCGAGTTTACTATACCCGGGCAGAGGTTGGCAAGGTAGTTAAATCGGGAGGTGTAAGCAGTCACCTCCGGCTCTTTCATAGTAAGGTTCAACAATTCTTGTCATAGGGCCTGAATTTCTTGTCGAGAACAATACTCCTCGATCATCATCTGTTTCAGGGTTTCCCAAGTAATGGCACATGCTTCATCGATTCTTATAGACTTGGTATGGTTATTCCACCAAGTTAAGGCGGAATCCATTAACGTACAAGTGACATACTTAACACGACAGTCATTAGCGAAAGAGTTGATGCGGACCACTGCCTCCATCAAATCTATCCAACGGGATAGACCAATGGCTCCTTCCGTACTGAGGAAGGATTGGGGTTGGTAGGCTAAGAAATCCTTGTATGAACAAGATCTGGGGTTGTTTTTGTTAAATACTAGAATACCGCCACCATTTCCACTGTTCACGAAAGATTCGTTCTGGGCAGCCTCATACGTAGCTAAATTTGTGGCAATCCCTTGTGCAATCAGGGTTTGCATTAGTGTTGAGTCCATTCGAAATAATGGTGGTGGGTGAACTCGCAGATTCCTTCGAGGGGGCTTTATCCTAAACGTTTAGAAAAGACACACTTAAGTTGTTTATACTACCTAATCATAAACAAGCATGTAGGAGTTGTATTGTATGATAGTATATTAGTATAATTTGTTCTTAAAATCCCATAGGTTTCCAAATTATAGAGTGAGACTGATTCTTGAAATCCTACCAATTTCCAAACGATAGGGAAAAGGTGATTGATTTGGAAATCCTCCAGATTTCCAAATGATAGGGAAGGAATTGAAATCCTTTCGATTTCGAATAATAGAGAGAATTGAAATATTTGTCATCTTTGGAAGAGAGAAGTTTGGAGACTATTGAATGATTGACTTAGGCGAACTAGGAAAATCTGAATGTTATCCTAAAATTTTAAGTGTTTATATGATTTAAAATGTATGCATTGTTTTGGGGTTGATATAAGGTTTCTAAGGTACTAGGTATCTATAGAGAATCTTGTGAACATTCTTCATTCTCCAAAACTTTCAACCGTTGTAGTCTGTCAAACTCCTTGCTCGAGGTTGGTTGTGCACCGTCCTGACTATAAATAACATAGGCGCACGTTCCAGGTGTATTTGTGGTATGACTTATATACGGTACTAACCTTAGCTGAGGTGTCTAACCTAAATGGTTGAGTTGGTAGTTTTAGTTGAAGGGATGTTTAGAATTTTATTAAGTGTTCTCATCGCGGGTCAAAGCGTGTGTGTGTGTATATATATATATATATATATATATATATATATATATATATGTATATATATATATATATATAACTCTTATATATTAGTGTTGGTGAGGTTTGTAGTAATATTAAATTTTGTTTCGTACTCCAAGGCTAATATGTACAGACGAGGGCCAGACAGGAAACACCGGAGGGCATGATCATTTTAGCAATTAAGCCGTTCTGAATCCAGCAACCCTATGCGACCCTTCAAACCAGATTCCTAGTACCGTACGTAGCCAAGAAGTAGTGTAATTAATAATAATACTTTTATTAGGAGCTTGTTGCTATAGTTGTATTTACTCTTTCGAGGATACGAGTTCTCTATAGCCAATTTAGCTTTGATACCAATCTGTCACACCCCCGACCGAGGCAGCGGAACATGTCGGGTTGTGTGACTAAGTCCATGGATCACAGGTAAACTAAATATATAGCACAAGTACAACAATAAACAAAACAACATTTGTATTCTATCTTGATGTTTGAATACATGGTTTTTACAGATAATAGTATAATATATGAATTCCATTAAATAGGTAGGCGGACATAACAAAAATTAGTAAACTAAATTGCCTGAAATCCATGACTATCCGTCGTCTGAATTTGCTTGATTACTGATTCCCTGAGAATACATGTAATTTTGAGGGTCAACACAAGGTTGGTGAGAGTTATAGGTTTTCATCTAGCAGCAGTAATGATACTTTTAAAAGCGTTCGAAAAGTATTTTTCTTTATAAGTAAACCATATTTAAATAAACTTTGATAAACCAAAAGGTATCTTGGTATAAGTAAATCAATACTTAAAACGGTTTTGAAATAATCAAGTTTATGAGTTGTAGTAAGAGAGAGAGAGATATTCGAGTTAATGTTTATAGTGAGTTCTATAACCGAGCTATGTGACTGAATGTACCTTGCCACAGTGCTTCATTGGACATCGTAGTAACGATTGTATACATTTATCACCCGCTTTGATTGATCGGTCGAGGTTGTAGCTAGCAACCGCAAGTGGGGATGTCAACCACGTATAGATCTATACATATGTATCTCGCTCCGAAGATTAACAGTTATAATAGTGTGTGTATGCTAAGTGTTTAAACTTTAGCTAATGAATAATGTCTCACTATAAATCCCTTAACTAAAGTATGAATAGCTCTCAGCCCTAACTTAAAAGTGGATAAGTTCTAGGCATAATGAATCGTATAGAGTTTATAAAAGTCAAGCATAACTGGTATACATGTATAATATAAGGCACTAGCTTTTATAAACTATGTGTGTTTCTTGTATAAACTTTGTATATATGCATGTATAGTTCAAATCCTTAGAAATACTACAAGTTTTATGACATGAATTTTATGACACACAATGTCACATAAAAATCATAGGATTTTGTAGTAAAAATGCATATGTTATTTTTAAAAGTTGTATTATTTTAACAACATAACATTTGAAAATATTGAAGTTTAAAACTAGTTTATGTGTTCGTAACATATAAAAGTTAAACCAATAATTTATAAACTAGTTATAGTTTTTTTTACATAAAATAATGATACTTTATGTGTATTTTTGTATTATCTAACACAAGTAGTACATGTATTCTCCCCCGAAAATATATAAAAGAGTGGCCGTAACACTCACCTTAACGAGTAGTTGATGATTTGTTTCGAGTATTTGATGCGAGAAACCGAGAAGTGTTGCTTCTAAAATGAACCGTCGGGACTAATTTAGTTACCTATTTAACCAAAGGATGTATTTGGTATTAATTACTAAGTATGGGGTTGGTTCGGTAAAATAATTAATAATTAGGACTTATATTGTAATCATATTTCATGAAAGGGACTAAAATGGTTTATTTGAATTCCAAGTTTTGAGTGTTGGAGTTATTTTGCAAATAAATCTCAAGGGAGGGTGTAATTTAAATAAATGATTTTCTAGGGAGGGGGTTATTTAAATATTTGAAATGGAGGTTTGATAGATCGGACTTGATTTGTAAAGAACTTTTAGGGAGGGGGTGTTTGAATTAATTGGTACTGAAGTTTGAACAGTAAAATAAAGTTTGCACAGGAGGTAATTTACCTCCTGTGTTTGTCATGCATGCGAAGTGAACAAAAAAAAAAAAAAAAACGATTCGTGACTTCGTCTAGGCTCGATCGACACTACACATACATAACGAAGGTGGGGGGTGTTTTTGGATATATTAAAATGAAGTTTGGAAAAATGTTGATTACCTCCTGTGATCGTTAGATGCTCACGAATCAAAAAAAGAAAAAAAAAGGAAACGAAGAAACTTCGATTTGGCCATTTGCGATTTACAGGGAAACAAAACAAACAACAAAAAAATATAAAAAGAGGAGGAGGTGGCTTACGGTGGATGAGGGAAGGAGTAGGAGGTGGCAGAGGGCGGCAAGTCAATGATTTGTTATCAGAGAAAGCTTCTATGAAAAAGCTACATTGCAGAAGTCAATGGCATGCTTTCGGATATCATTGAGACTCGCGACTCAATGATCACTATTACGGGAAAGAAGCATCTTGCCAAGAAATTAAGTCTTGTGTTCGCAATGCTTCATCGGCTGGAAGGTGTTCCGGAATCTAGCTCTATTCCGAAATAAGGGGGAGAAGGTGTGTCACAATCTAAGAAGGAAAACCCCAAACCTTCAGTCAAGCACACTGTCAAAAGCGAATCTGAGCCTAAAGGCAAAGAAAAACTTTTCACTGAAGAACTCATTGTTGACAATAGCGAAGATGAAGAGCTTGATGAAAACGAGCTCAAAATAAGAAAGGAACGAGAGGCTGAAATGGACGAACATCAAAGAATAATCAGAGAGGCTGAAGCGAAAGAGCGAGCAGAACGTGAAGCTCAGGTTACTTTGGAAAGCCGAAAGCTTTTATTTCCAAAGTGGACTCTGAAGCGAATTCAGAACGAAGCTGTGGATATGCCTAGTCAATATTGGCTAGAACCAGTTGTGTCGTTCGAGCTTCAGAATACACAAGATTCGCAGTTGGATCTGCCAATAACTCCGAAAGCCTTCAAGTTTTGCTCCTTTGTGAAAGTAGCGAATGTCCCTTCCATTGATAATGGTGCTGATCAATTGCTCTTCTCGTTCTATCTCAAGCACATGAAGCCACAGTATGAAACATGGAGTGCTAGCAAGATTACTG